TCTTACACCAAGTAAGTACATGGTGTTTTAGATAGCACTGTTATTGAGAAGGAAAAAAAAAAGAAAATAAGGTTTGGGGAAATGGTAATCAAATTTTAAAAAGTAGCATCAAGGAGGAAAAAAAAAATACTCAAGAAAAGGTGACTTAGCAACAAACTGAAGGAGGAGGAGAACCAACAATAAAGTAATTTTAAGAAGGTGTTCTGCCCTAGCTGGTTTGGCTCAGTGAATAGAGCACTGCCCTACAAACTGAAAGGTCCCAGGTTCAATTCTGGTCAAGGGCACATGTCTGGGTTGTGGGCTCAACCCACAGTGGGGGGCTTGCAGGAGGCAATCAATCAATGATTCTCTCTCATCATTGATGTTTCTATGTTTCTATCTCTCTCTCCCTCTTCCTTCCTCTCTGAAATCAATAAAATTATATTTTTTAAAAAAAAGGTGTTCTGGGAAGATATAGAGCAGGTGCTAAGATACCATATGTGGTCTTCCTTTGGAATTGTTAGTGGTGTGTGTGTGTGTGTGTGTGTGTGTGTGTGTGTGTGCGTGCGTGTGTGTGTGTGTGTGTGTGTGTCTGAAGTAGATTTATGTTTTGTCTTCTAATTCTATTCCATTGGAAACTACAGATGAAGAAAAGTGGTCTACTCCTAAACTGTTTTCTAAATAACTTTTCTGTTTACAGGAGGGAGAGTGAATGGGGTTACCTCATTTCTTCCTCATTCTCCCTCTCATGATATCTTAGAAATGTTCTAACAAATAATTAAGGCAAAGAAATTATTGAAATTCAAATTATAAAATGTTTATAAACAAGTAGTCAGCAAGTAATATTAATTCAGGAGAGCATCTCTAAGGAAAAAAGAGAGTACAATAGTATTCTGGGATGATAGATGGGTCTAAGGACCAGCACATCATCTTGTGTTAACTTGGCACATGCAACCTGAATGGATCAACCCTCATTACATGTGTACACTAATGCCTAGCTCACCAAGCAGCCCTTATGATCAGATGTTCATGACAAGGGGAGCACTAAGCCACTCATTGAATTTTTTCTTTGTTTGCAGAATAATTTCATCAAACAAAGATTCTAGGTGAGTCTAGAACCCTTTTCCGGCTTTGTGACCAACTTACTCTGTGAACTTAATTAACATTTAGCTCAGTTACAACTTTTTCACAATAAATAAATCTAACTAGATAATGCCAGGCCTGCTCTAACATATCTAACCAGTCAATATTTTAGTACTTAGAAAGTCAGAGTTTCATGAGCCTATTTCTTTCCACTTAGTGATTCTGATTCTGGCTCCATTAGTTTGGAATTCCATGCCAGTGTCAGAGTACTTAACCTATCTTTGTTGTTTTCTCAGCTGTAAAATGAGAAACGCAATTGTCAAGAGTAATAAAAATAGTTAACTCATTTAAAATACATAGAAAAGTATCTAAATAAAGTAAACAAAGAATGAGTAGGGCAAGAAATAGAGATAAGTTTTTATAGTTGAACTTCCCTCTCTACTGTCCCCTCAGCCCTTGAGAGGAAGACATGTCCTCATTCACAGCTGAAACTCAAAATTCATGAGATCACTGATTTGCAAAGTAAAAAAAAAAATCTGATTTTTGAGGATGGGAAAATGCATATAATCTGTGGACCTCAGTTTGAGACTTTAATAAATTTCCTTTTGACTCAAAATAAGGACAGTAAAAAGACTTACTTCTGGTTCTGAAAAGCACCTGTTTGTCAACCTCTGATTAAGGAAATTTCTTGATGCTTCTCTCAGCTGGTAAACATAAATGTATTTATATCCGGATGTAGGATGGACCTGCTCTTAAAGGAAACCTCAGAAGGGCTTAAAAGTATCAGCAATAAGTGTTACTTTGGGAATCACCCTCTTGGGTTTAATTGGAGCACTCTATGAACCGAACGCTAATCATATGCCTCAGTCATATTTTCTATAATTTTAAATCCACCTTTTGTCCTGAGAGCTCTATGGAAGACACAAATAGGTGTCATCTCAACATTTTGATGATGGTCTGATTTTACATGTGGTTTTGTTTTTTTTTATCTTGGGTGGGTTTTTTTTCCTATCTCTTCTGAAAATCCAGATCAATGTCCTCTATTATAAACATTGATGCCTTGAGAAGGGTCTGCTATGGACAGGATTGTGAAACAAACAGGGTCTTTACATACGAAGTTGAGTACTTTATCAATCATAGGTGACTGCCATTTCTCAAGTTATAGTCACAATTTATCCTTTCTTCCTGCATCATTTTTAAAATATTCCCTTAGGTATCCACCAGTCAGTGCTTTCCTTATTCTCATCAGAATCAAGTTGGTTTGGGCAGTAGGAAAGGCTCAAATTAAATTCTTCTCCAAAGATAATTTCTCTGTTTCCACAGCACTGAGCTTGACCTCCCTCCATGCATTGTAGCAATCTTCCCCTATCATCCTCGAACACAGTTTTAATAATCCAGTAATATTTCTATTGCCCAGTAGACCATAAACCCTATGTGCAATAACTGTAATCTTCACACTTAGCACAGGTCCTGGAAGATAATAGTTGATCAATAAACACTTTCTTAATAACTTAAGGAGTGTTCAATATGTACTTAATTCAGTGAATAAAAAATAAATGGTTATCTCCTCCAAGGTAACTGCATTTTATTGAGTTCATTTCCTTATCTCTCAAAAATTAAGAAGATGGATGGAATGAGTAACTAATTTGCTTAAGAAACTACAACAAAGAAAACAGAATGTAGGTAATTATTGTAAGTAGTATGCATTCAATACTTACATTCAGAACTTAACATGTACTATGCATTAGGCTTAGTACTTTACAAGCACCCACTTAGCTAACTCACCTAACTCCTTGGGTTATTAGAATTATTATATTTGTTTTACAAATGGCAATTTTGTATATGTTGGAAGGAAATGCCAAAGATGATCAGGAGGGTGGGTAGGTGTGCAAATTGCCCAGTAGAAAATGTACTGCTTGTGATGCATAAAGAGTAAAATAGCACCACACCACCTCACTTTTGTGGTTATTTGCCTTGTGAGCTCTAAAATTAGGATATGGTACCTTCTGGCAGGGAAATTGGCCAAGTTTAGATAGGAAAGAAAGAATAATCAAGACATTTACAACTAATGATGCCTTGCAAAATAGATTAAACCATATGTAAGGAATATTTGTAAAGGTGACTACCAAAATAAAAGGGTAAATATAGGACTAAATAGAGACCATAAATATTTTTATTTCTCATTCTTGTAGACAACATTTCTGGATCAATGAAGTTGGTTTTACCTGTCTTCTGGGAAATGATGGAAGTAGACTCTGGAGAGATTATAGGTACTTCTGTTCATTTTAAAGATAGCTCCTGTCATAGATCATTCAAGAAAATAATGTTCCAGTCTTCCAGATGAGAGTTGGTAAAGCTATTCTTATAAAGTAGTTTGTAGTAATGAAGGGATTGATGAATTGGTCCCAGAATAAAGAACCCAGAAACAGACATACATATATGAAAACTTGATACATGACAGAGTTTATACTAAAAATGTAATGAGAAAGGTATGAAGTATTTTTTAAAAAGAGAAAATTAATTGTTTTTCTTAAAAATAAGATTAGAGTTTGTCCTATCTAATAAAGACAAAATATGCAAATTGACCAAAACTTCACGATAAAGATTGTGGCGCCCACAGCCAATAAGGAGGAAATATTAATTCTTATACTGCGATATATTCAGAATTTCACAAAAAAAATTTATTGTTGGATTTTCATATTATCATGAATTAGAAAAAATGTAATCACCCATCAATAATAGAATAGTTAAATATATTGTGACACATATGTTGACATAGAATACAGGGTGGGACAAAAGTAGGTAAGCAGTTGTTCATATGGACAAATACATGTAATTTATAAATATTATAAATAGTTTTATTGACTCTGTTTACCATACTTAGACCTATAAACCTACTTTTGCCTCACCCTGTATATAATTGAAAATGCTGCTGATTCATCATGAATAAGTCTAATGCATAATTCAGCATGTATGTCTAACAATGTATATGTAGTAAAAAATAAAACAAATTGCAGAGGAATACATAGAGGATGTTAGGTATATCAAGTTTTAAATAAAGAAAATAATATAATTTTGTGTATACAGAAACAATATCAAATGACAAAACTCTACATAAGAATAAGAAACATTAAATTAATAGAAGAATTTAATGCAAGAAATGGGACAAAAAAAGAATCAGTCAGGGAAGACTCACTGATATTTTAGAAATATCTGAGTCTCTGAAATATTTGAAACAAAAATGGCATTATGAAGACAACTGGTAATGATCACAAGGGCTTATACAGTGGTCTTTCTATTATTTATTTTTGACTGTATGTTAGGAATAGTACACAATAAAAAATTAACAAATTAAGATATAAAACTGGTTTTTAGGTGGGGATGCTTGTTGTTAAAAATATAGTAATAAAATAATAAAAAATAAACCCTTTCTAAAGAAAATGTGAGATTTTCATCTTAGACTAAATATCTAAGATACCCAAAGATCTTCATTGTTATATAATTTGTATAAAAGGAAGAAGAAAACAAAACTCATCTGCCATGGTTAAAGAGTTTCTGGAAAATAGTTTTAAAATTATTAAGCACTATAAAAATCTAATAGATAATCATTGCCATAGCATCATTTGGTAATTCTGTCTCATAACTTTGTACCAATATGAGTATCATGGATGCAATCATCTGTTCTCTATTGACTTTAACGAGCAATAGCAATGCCTTCTGGTAATGCCTTTGAGTTCCAATGCACTATTTTTTTTTTAATTCACTGACATGATACTGTAAATGCTAATAAATAATTTGATACATTCTTCTAAGTTCCATATTCTAATGGTGAAAGATAAAACATATTCAGTGATAGAAAGTGATTCATTCATTGAAAATGCTCATTAATTGGTCCAATAATAATGATTTATTGCACATCTGTGACTGAAATGTCTACTTTATTTAGCAAACAATTTCTTTTGGATAGCTTTCCTGATTGCTTTTTTAACATCTTTGTTCCTCAGACTATAGATCAAAGGATTTAACATAGGACTGACAAAGATATAAAACACAGCTACAATTTTCCCCTGCTCTACAGATGTCTCGGATGGGGGCCTCAGGTACATACAAAACAGCGTCCCATAAAAGATAGTGACAGCTGTCAGATGCGACCCACAGGTAGAGAAGGCTTTGTGCCTCCCCTCAGCAGAGCGAATACGCAAAATGGCTGCGAAAATGAAAATGTAGGAGATACAAATCATGGTGAGAGAGCAGGTTAGGTTGGCACCAGCCACCACAAACATGGCAGTTTCTTTGACATAAGTATCTGAGCAGGCAAGGACTAACAGAGGTGGGTCAGCACAGTAAAAGTGGTTGATTTCATTGGGTCCACAGAAGGAGAGACGAAGCATCAGGATGGTCTGGACCAGACCATTTGCAAAGCCATAAGTGTAAGGAATCACAACGAGGGAGATGCAGACACCTCTGGACATTCTGCTACCATATAGCAAGGGTTTGCAGATGGCCATGTAGCGGTCATACGCCATCACGGTGAGCATATAATAATCTGTGATCACCAAAGCAATGAAGAAGTGGAATTGTACGAAGCAACCAGTGACGGAAATGGTTTTTCTCTTGGATAAGAAATTAACCAGCATCTGAGGAGCGACATCGGTGGTATAGCAGAGGTCGACAAAGGAGAGGTGACTGAGGAAGAAGTACATTGGAGTGTGAAGTCTTGAGTCAGCCCTGATTAGCAAGATCATGCTCATGTTGCCAGTCACCGTGACCAGGTAGATGGCCAGGAACACCACAAAAAGGACAGGCTGCAGCTCTGCTCTGTCTGTCAGACCCAGGAGAATAAACTCAGTCACCACCGTGTAGTTCTTCCTGGACATGGTGTTTGGTTGGCTGCAAGTGAGATCTACATAAAGGAAATAGAGATTCATGTCTTTTGTCATTCATCATGTCACCTGATACTTCTTCCTCTTCACTCGAACTTGTAAATACCTGTGGCATAAAAAGTAGCCTCCTGAGCATGCAATTGATGTTTTCACTATCCAAATTAATACAGAGCTCTTTTATAACCAGTGTGGATATAAAAGGGGCCACAGGCTAACCTGTTAAGCACAGAGAAGGCCTGCAACAAAAGACCTAAGGCAACCACAAAAGACAGTCTGAAATTAAAACTTTAACTAAAAGCAGTTTATGGTGGGTAGTCATGTCCTAGGCCAGAATCTTCCCTGACAAATGCTAATAAGTAAGGTCAATCCTTACCTTAACTGACAAAGGTCAATCTTTACCTTAACTGAGCCTATTGTCTTTTTGCTTCTAAGATAATATACCTGTGAAATGTCAGGGTAACTTGTAACTTTTCTTTTTCCATTCCCCTCAGGGCACTACGAGGGACTGAGATCATAAGTCCCTTCATTGTCACTGTTATCAAGTTAATTGTTGACTGTTAACTATTCTGTACTCTCTTAAGTAAAGAAGTTTGTGTCTATCATTTTACTTTTTATCCAATCCCAGCTTTGCTTTCTCCCATCTTCCTAATGTACCACAAATGTATTACATGTATCCAGCTTACCTCTCCTCCTTAGATTGCAATGTATAAAACAAAGTGAAAAATTGCAGTTCTCTGGAGCATTATCCCAATACTTTGAGGTTCTGCTTCCTGGCAATTGTCGACAGTTTGCCTCAAATAAACTCACAAAAAATGATAGACACAAACTTCTTTACAGGTTTGAATGATTTTTGCGTTAACATAGGGCAGTATATTGTTAAATACTTTCTGCAATTCTATTCATGTTTGAAAATCCTTTATCTTTGCTGCAAGTCTTTATCACATTTGTTTGCTTTCAATTTCCTTCCTTGAACAATATTTTTCAGCATTGCTTTTCTTGGAAATTGTAAAAAAAATCCCATTTTTTTTTCCTGATATACCTGTTTTTTAGTATCTAAAGCATCAATATTAAAACTCATTTGTTTTTCACATTTGAATGAACTTAGGGAAGTGGTACTGATGTATAGCACACATTTTTATAAAATTAGAATCTGGCCCTAGCCTGTTTGGCTCAATGGATAGAGTGTCAGCCTGTGGACCAAAACGGGTCCCAGGTTCAAATCCAGTCAAGGACACATACCTTGGTTGCAGGCTCCTTCCTGACCTGGGGCCCTGGTTGGGACATATGCAGAGGCAACCATTCAAAGTGTTTCTCTCATGTCCACTCACTCTAAAAATCAATGGAAAAATATCCTCTGGTGAAGATTAAAAAATACAAATAAAAAGTAGAATTAGAATCTGTCTACCTGACCCTCTAAATTAAAATTTGTTTTCAAATTGTATCCTCACCTTGCAATGCATGTTCATTTTCTTCTAATTCCTAGTGAGGCTTGGGCAGATTGTTCATTTCTCAGTGCATATGTTTCCTCAGACATAAAATTTGGTTACTAGTAGCAACTTCCTCCATATCAGAGAGATCAACAAGGCAAAACTTTAAAAATGTCTGACATGTAGTAAGCACTTAATAAATTGTAGCTACTATAATTTTTGGTGAAAAAAAAAATCCAGATCTAGTCTAAAACAAGACTCAACATGAAAGTGTAAGCTCCTCAGGAACAAGGAGTTTATCTAAACTGTAGCTACAGCCTTAGTAGCACCTAAACCAGTGCTTTCCCAAATGAAGGCAATTGATTATTATTGATAGAATGAATGTTCTCTTTGGTCTAGTTATCTTCTCATTATAAATACAATTCCATTGTACATTTAAAATGCTTGGACTCTGAGAATAGTCTGATATAGTAAAATTTAATTCAAGACAATTATTAATTCATCAGAATATGTTTCAGCTCATAATTTTATTTTGTTGACTAAAATATTTCTAGATCCCAAAATATATCTTATCAAAAGTAATCTTACTGTGAAGGAAGAGTGATTTGCCAATGACAGGATAGACATAAGAAAATATGAAGAGTTTATAACAGAATTGTTATATAGGGACCAAATCCCTATGGTTCAATTATTTCAAGTAGAAAGTCATTCAGACTATAAACAGCCACTATGGTTTTATTATTTTGCTCATCTTATATCATCAGAGAATCAAAGCCCCCAAGAAACATGAAGTAATGAGATTCATTATTTGTTTGAATATGTTTTTATTTTTAAGTATATTTTTATTAATTTCAGAGAGGAATAAAGAGAGGGAGAAAGATAGAAACATCAATGATGAGATAAAATTTATTTTTTGCATGTTTCTGTTCAATTTGCCCAACACCATTTATTGAATAGATTAAGTATACACCATTGTATGTTCTTGCCTACTTTCTTATATGATTGAACACAGAAGTATAGGTTTATTTTTGGGCTCTCTATTCTGTTCCATTGATCTTGTGTCAGTTTTTATACCAGTCCCTTGCTGTTTTGTTCATTTGTTTGTTTAAACACAAATAAACACAATATTGTTAAGGGAGAAAATAATAGCATCTTGGATTAAAAGGGATCTGGATAACCATCCAGTTCAATGCAGATATGGAACAGTGTTGAACCCCTGCTTTTTCCTACATTCATATTTAAATTCTCACATCAGTATATAAAATTCTTTTATTTTAAATGATGGGATCTGGGTGGTTCTGGAAACACGCAGTTTTTGTTTGCTTGTTTTCTTATTCATAAAAGTAATAATTGTTCATCTTAGAAATTTGGTGCATAGATATAAAGAAAAAGTCTTAGTTTTCTTTAATTCTAATATCTTACAAGTTATCATAATGTATACATTATTGTACCCTTCTTTTTTACAAAAAGCTATAAAAATTTATTTGCCCTTGTCTTTCCTGGGAGCTTCTTCATTTTAATGTCTGGCTACATTTAAATGGGAAAGTCCATCATGTGACTGTCACTCTTCTTTATGATCCCAGCCAGCACACCCTTCTAAAGGACACAGTTGTGTACAACCAGCCTCTGCTCCAGCTGCCATCTGCCAGTGTCCAGCCAAGCATTCAATGCAGGCTGTCCTCACTTTGCACAGCACTGTGGTAACTGAGACCCATACAAAGCAAGGAGACACTTCCAGTCTTCCCAAACTTCCTTAGCATGGTACCTTGCCAAAGTGGGCTGCCTAAATTTAATGCATCCCTGCCTTGCTTTTTCTCATTTATAACACAAACATTACAATGAAAATCTTCTCCAGGGGCTTTATTATGCCTTCTACACATGCTTAAAATTGGAATAGCTAAATTAAAGTGTACAAATACTTTTTAAGACTCCTTACCACACAATGTTAAATTGATTTCCAGAAAAGCTGTAATTGTTTTCCCTGATACCCTTAATGGAAAAAGTGCCAGTCTTCCTGAACTCTCTTGAAGATAAATACACAAAAGGGTATCTTATTTCATATGTTTTTACTAGTCTCTCGTCTAATTAATTTTAGCATTTTTGTATTTGTATCCATTTTCTAAATATAACCTTTGACATTTATTTATATCACAGTGACATAAATAATTTGATTGATTTCTTTGATTAGGAGTAATACTTTCCAAAATATATGCCTCTTAATTTTAAGGAGTTTTATGATTAAATTTGAGTGACTCTTCAACTAAAGTTCTCCACTGCAACCAATCTCAAAAATATGTGCTGTTGGTTATTTAAGAATTTAATATTTATCTTAATGCAGATCAACATAAATTTTATTTAGTGTTTCTCAACTCACAGCTAAGCAGTATGTGTGGATATGTCAATTCTTTGGAGGGACAGTTGCTAACAAAGGGCAATCTAGTTAGGTATAAGATTCTGTGTTTAGATATCTTGGTTGAAAAATAATGTTGTATTATGGACACTAGAATGGTGCAAAAATAAATATTTGGGTAAAAGTGTTAATCAATACACAATATTAAGGTGCCAAGGATACATGTTGTTCTCATTAGTTATGTCACAAGCACTTATCTGCTTTTCTAGCAAAAAATAAATTTAAAAACTTACCTGTAAACTTTCATTCTTAGGCAGATCTCATTATGGCCTTCATTCCATACATATATCCATCAAATCTGGGGACCAAGTTATAATAATACTACTAAAATTAAAATATTTTAATATATTTTCCAAATAATTTACAATGGATATTATTGTATATACTAGAGGCCCAGTGCATGAAATTTGTACATGGAAGGGGGATCCCCTCTGCTCAGCCTGCACCCTCTACAATCCAGGATCCCTCAGGGGATGTCCAACTGCCGGTTAAACTGGCAGTGTCGGACATCCTCTCACAATTTTGGACTGCTGGCTCCTAACTGCTCACTTGCCTGCCAGCCTGATCACCCCTAACTTGACCCCCACATCCTGTAAGTCTAGTTGCCCCTAACTGCTCCCCCTGCCAGTTTGGTCACCCCTCACTGCCCCTCCTGCCGGCCTGATGGCCTCTAACTTCCCCTTGCCCCCGACTGGCCTGGTCATCCTTCGCTGACCCCCCTGCCAGCTTGGTTGCCCACTACTGCCCCTTCCTCGCTGGCCTGGTCATGGTCACTGCCTTTTTTTATATATATATATATATATATATATATATATATATATATATATATATATCCATATTTGATTTTCATGTATATATGTTCATATACTTCCTAGATGAAACCCTCATATACATAATTTCTGGGTTAAAAAATATTAAATACTTGGAAGCATCAAATTTGCATTCTCTAAGATAAATTTAAAGGAAAAAATAATGAAGATGGAATTTCTCTAATAGGAGTTAGCACATCTTAAGTCTAAAATACATTATTTGCAATAATTTGGCTTAAAACACATATATAGAAAAATAAATGAATAGAAGAGGTAGGCCAGAAATAGATTTATTTAGTGTACAATGAAGATAACATATCAGTGGGTAAACAAAGGGTTGCTTAATAA